ACAATTTTCATAGCCATGAAAATAAAGAAAACTCTTTGAATAAGAAGGTGTGTCCAAACTTTTGGTCTGTACTGTGTATATATACTTTTTTTAAAACATTTTATTTATGATTTTTCAGATATCATATACATCAATCATCCATCCATCCATTATCTATACACTGCTTAATCCTCACTAGGGAATGATGCTTTGTCCATCCATCCATCCATCCATCCATCCATCCATTATCTATACACTGCTTAATCCTCACTAGGGTTGCAGGGGGGCTGGAGCCTATCCCAGCCGACTTAGGGCAAAGGCAGGGGACACCCTGGACAGATTGCCAGTCTATCACAGGGCTACACTTGGAGACAGACAACCAAGCACACGCACATTCACACCTTCGGACAATTTAGAATTGCCAGTTAACCTCATCATGTTTTTGGACCTTGTGGGAGGAAGCCGGAGAACCCGGAGAGAACCCACGCTGCAAGGGGAGAACATACAAACTCCATGCAGAAAGATCCCGGTGCCCCCACCGGGACGCGAACCGGCGACCTTCTTGCTGGAGTGTCAGTGCGGCGTTTGTTGACATCCGGGCTGTAGTTGGGAAAAATTTAGAATCTTGATCCATTAAACGAGAGCGGGCCCTTCTGTCTAGCAAGGCGTAAAATCAACTCTTTGGTTTTAAAGTGATGGAGCTTGACAATGAATGGCCGTGGTCTGTTATCACCATCTGCTGGTTTCGGGGCCAAACTCCTGTGGGCTCTGTCAACCGACAGTGGCGTCTCAAAGTTGTCCTCCCCAAGTACGTCAGTGAGTAGTTTGGTGATGAATTCTGTTGGTCGCGGGCCCTCCGTATTTTCCAATATCTCTACAATGTGTGTATTTTGCCGTCTGGTGTAGTTTTCCAAGTACGCTACCTTCTCCCTCAAAGCAACGTTTTCTTTAGCCAGCGATGTCTGGGAAGCTTCCACGCTGCTCAGTCTCTTGTTGAACGCATTCAGCCCTTCCTCCATGTCATTAATTCATTGGCCATATGCAGTCAGAATCAAGTGTAGAGAAGCAATCGACGACCGGTTCTCCTCCCGAAATGAGTTGATAGAAGTTTGCACGGCAGTGACTGCAGTTGCCAGTGCATCCATGTCGTTAGCATTAGCACCAGTTTGAGCACTAACGCTTGTCGAGGAGTTCAAGTCACCCCGCGTTGTGGCTTTCCCACTTTGTTGTTTGGCCGGTTTGGGAGGCATTCATCCACTCAAAAAGGAGTAAGGCCACTTAGAGTGTGCTTCTGACAGAGTTTTGAGCGGTTACGAGGTCCAGAATGTATAAACTTTAAGGATTTCTGCGGGAGCTGAGGAAGACACGTCTACTCACAATTCATGCTCAAGTGCGAGTCCTGTGTGAACTTCTGTGTGGCGCAGCCGTTGTTCGGTAAACAGCTACATATGCATTGACGTATGTCTTGACCCATAACTTGGCTCCTTACTGACGGAAAAGCAACCGGTTCTTAGATTGGAACCAACTAAGCACTGGCCCCAGCACCAGCACGGCTCTGGCACCTGGTTCTTCTTGGTGGAAAAGGGGTATCATTGCACACCAGCACCAGTTCACTCCTTGTGAACCTCTCCCAAGTTCTTAAATCAATTTTTTTATTTTTTTTGACAATCGTCCTAAGGCTGCAGTCATGCTTGTGCACCATTTCATAGCACACTTTCCCTTTTCCAGTCAACTTTCCGTTAACATGTTTGGAACAGTTAATTGCCTTTTCAGCAATGGGCTGCAAGGTGGCGTAGTGTTTAGCACCGTTGCCTCGCAGCTAGAAGATCGCCTGGTGTCTTCCTGTGTGGAGTTTGCCTTTTCTCCCTCTGCAGCGTGGGTTCTCTCTGGGTTCTCTGGTTTCCTCCCACAGTACAAAAACATGCTGAGGTGTGACTGTGAGTGTGCTTGGTTGTCTGCGATAGACTGGCGACCTGTGCAGGGTGTCCCCTGCTGTTGTATGCTCCCTCCCTCCTGCTTCCTTCACTCAGGTGCTGCTCATTCGGTGCTGATGGCCTGGCTATAGAGAGTGGAGGAGTGGCATCAGATACGGTGGCTGTGGCTCTCTGGCTGGTTGTGCTGATCTCTGTGCTCACTCTGCTCTCTGGCTCTTGTTCGCCGGCTCTCGGCCGGCGTGCGCCCCTCAGGTCTGACTACTTGTCGGGCATCCACCGCCACATCAGCGCCTGCACCTTAGGCGGTTGTGGCTCAGGTGGTAGAGTAGGTTGTCCTCTGATCGTAAGGTTGGTGGTTTGATCCCCTGCCCCTCCACAGTCGAAGTGTCCTTGGGCAAGACTGAACCCAAAGTTGCTCTGTCACCATTGGTGTATGGATGTGCGTGTGAAGGAGAAAATATTGTAAAGCGGAGTGCCGCAAAGGTAGAAAAGTGCAGACCATTTACCATTTACCTTGTTATATCTGGAGTGTTTGCTCTTCTTGGAGTGGAGGACGGAGGTATGGGTACTGTTTGCGGGATTTTCTTTTTAATAGTAGGATAGAGCGTTGACCCTGCCTCAGTGTAGAGGGGGAGCTGCAGGTTTGACGGCCCACTGCGAGGTTGACCTGGATTTTCCCCCCTATTTTTGTGTTTATTTCTCGCAGCCTCCGGATTCTTGTTTTGTGTTGAATATTGGTAAATCAACCTTGATTTACTTTACACTCTCTGGCGCGTCATCCGATATGTTCCTCGTCACTTTTTCCGAGCCAAAGTTTTAAAGTAGCCGTAACACCTGCCTTCGTCCTGAGTCAGTTGGGATAGGCTCCAGCCCCCCTTCGGCCCTAGTGAGGAAGCGGTGTATAGATAATTGCTGAATTTCTGACTTTCATAAGCTATGAGCCAAAATAATCAAAATTCAAACAAAAAACTACATTTTTTTTTTTTTTTACTTCACATAAAATGAATATATCAAAGATGACCTTTTTGAGTTATTGGTAAAATTTGTAGCATGTCATACAAGATAAGCCAGTCCCTACCTCAGCCTGTCAGCAATGTTTAGTTTCCTGAAATTCCTACTCTGATGGATGTGTGTTTGCCGTTTATCACATCAGTAACCATTTTCTTGTGTCCCTTTGTCCCTAGAACTCCCACTGCACTATGTCTATCAGAAGGAGGAGGCTCCTGCTGA